TTCTGGAGTGCTGRAATCAGGGCAATCAGTTGAAGCTGTTAAGTGGACATGATTTTTACAYCCATGATGTGCTTGGATCAGAGAAAACAGTGAAAACACTCAAGACTGCTGATAATCACTTGAGCCTTATTTAAAAAAAAAAATAAATAAATGGATATCTGATTTCCAAGTTATCCAGTGCTAGATTTATAGCTCACAGATCACTTTGATGTGGATTGCCACTTTAATAATTTTAATGATAAAAATTTGCAAGTTAAATACTTCTGAAGACCATTAAGTGCTATAATTCAGACTGTCTATGCTGACTTATTCAGATAGACTCATCTGCTGCCAGTTGGAAAAAGCATCCCCTTTATAAACAAAGAAATAAGAAATAATACTTCAAAAATCACTGATAAACCACATTAATCATTTGCTTACATGCCAAGTGAACATAATAGTTGTCTTTGGATGATAGTACTTTGAACAGTGTCTAAACATAATGACTTACAAAAAGGCATATTTATTTAAAAATAATTTGTCTTCCTCTTTGCAATCCAGACTTTGCCTGTACACGCCATGGAAAGGATGACAGAGAACAAAATAAGAAAGATGGGCGAGTGCTGCATCTATTCCAATATGTATCTCCCATGTGGAAACTCGATACCGGAATAAAAGTGACATTAGTCTAGAATAATTACAGTCAGAGTTATGCTAAATGACGAAACTGTGCAAGTATTCACAGTAGCTGTCCCTGTCAAGTCCCCTGTATTGGCAAGTCCAAAGCAAAAAGCCTCAACACTTGCACTAAACTCAGTTTTTATGCAGTCACCCAACAGATGTCCCTCACAAGAAGAGTACAATTGAGTAAAGGAATCTGGATTTGCACAGACTTCTTCATAATTAACAACAGCAACTCTAGCACACACAGCACTGCGGTCACATTGCTGCATAACACTTCTATGGTAGCAAGCCCGATGCAGAGTACCTGATATATCCTATCTCTTATCAAAATAAAACAAAAATGACTCATCTACACAGTTCAGTAATGTGTCRCATGAACTGAATACTTGACCTCACAAATTCTTATTAAAAGTATATGCTCAATCTTTGCGTTTGTTCAACTATGAGGCAACTCCACAGCTGACATGGAAAGCTGAAAAAAAATATCTGTAAGATCTGGGTTCTTTCCTGAAAACGTTTTATGTTCCTTTAAAGTAGCCTGTTTATTTTATGAAATGTTTGGTTTCTCTACCCTGTTAAAGAATAACAGAGGCACCCCCCCTCAAATACACACAAAACAAAAGAGCCTCTCTGATGCAAATGAACATTTGTTCTCCAGGGAGGATAGGGATCTTTGTGGCAGCCATTAACAGCTAAGAGTGTCCTGCTCATCACCCCTGAATTCCAGCCGTGTAAGGCACTTCACAAAAGGCCTAATCTAACATTTTCTCTCCTTATTTTGCATCTTTAAGAACGGCAACATTCTAATGGAAATAGTATACAACAGTTTGTACCGATACAGCTCTATCAATTAAAAAAAAAAGTATAAACTTAAAATAACTTATTTCCCAACCCAGATGAAAACAGCTCTTCTAGTATAATATAATTCCTGTATGTTGTTCTAAAGTTATGTGATTTTAGCTGGAGTAAAATAGCTAGAGAAATGCAAGATGCCTATGTAAATAAGCTTTTAAGCCACCAGCACTTCAAGCCATGCTTGCCAATTTGGTGTTTATGTTTTAAATGCGACTTCTCTATTAAGTAAGCTTCAAAGGTAAACTTGGAGAAACTGTCTCATCACTATTAAGACTTGTAAGCTTTCCATTTTTTGGAAGACTGCTACATTTAGAAGAAAAGCCCATGGAACAATGTAATACTAAAGGGAAAAAAAAGTTCAGTTTTGTGGTAAAGCAGACCATTCTCTACTCGAAAATGGCACTGGAGTGAGTCATAAAAAAAATGAAGCCACAGAGAAATAAACAAACAAACAATCAAAAAGCATTAGAAGAATCACTTCATTAACCATCAAGCAGGCTGTGAGACCTGATTTTCATTTTCACAAGTTTTATGCTCCTCTTTTCAACAAGGTCATTCCGTTCATCTGTGTTAACACAGCACAACAGAGCTCCATGTCCACATTCTACACAACACTGTTGCCCCCCCCCCCCCAAAAAAAAATCAAGCTTAATTCTTTTACACTCCCAGAAAGCATCTTAGCTCATGTACATTGTATTGAAATGTAACTGAACTTGAAGGCTAATGAATCTTTCACACACACTGACTACTTACTTTCTTTGCCTCTCATATCCCTTGAAATTTGTTTTGTTAGCTGCCCTTGTGACTAAAAATTAGTTTGTAAAAGTAAGAGACGTTTCTTCRTTGGCAGAAATGCAACACTGGTATGAAGAGTTGGTTAAACCACAAATACAGGCAAAACCCTCAAATCATTAAGTAACACACTAGAATGAAGAAGCAAAAGGAGTTTCGGCAGGATTTTTCTGAAACACTTCATATAGCACAAATACTAAGACCTACAATATCCAACCTATCATGCAGAGAACACCTTACTCTCTGCGGTAAGCTGCTTGCTGAACTCTTTAGAGCAGAAGCATGAAGCTTAAACCACAGTTGCCTTCAGCAGGAAAATCAGAGCAACCTATGACAACCCATGTTCAGGATTCAAGACATGAATAAGATGCTCTGTCCTATACAAGAACTCAGATCTATAGAAACATTTCATACTAAGAGCATAACAGCACTTAGGAGGACAAAAATAATAAATGAAAGAATAGCTTGTTTGCCTATCTCTTTCGATATGTGACAGCAGAGAGTAATCAGGTAAAACCTGGCTGATGTTGAGTTTTGAGAAAGGATATACACAAAAATTCATTTGAGAGATGTTCACTTGTAGCCACGTCCCCCCACCTCAAAAGCTGCACGCGCCTTCATCTATTTCAGCCTGCTATGACTGCAAACAAGAGGTTAATAGTCAACCTAAATTAGTTTAGCATTTATTCCTCACAGGGCCACAAGCCTTAATTTCAACAACTCTTTGCATAACTTAAGGAATGAGCACGGTGCTCTCTTTATTTGATTCCTAAGCCACCCCTATCTGAAGCACAATGGGACATGTCACAGACACTTGCTTTGCTGCCCTCATAATACAGTTTAATTATGATGACTGAACTAACGGGCTCCCATCATAGACTTTTACAGGTTGACCCTGTGTCATCCTGATGTATCATTTTGCACCAGTTCAGTGCTGTAAATCAATTTAAGATCTCCAGCAGGTTGAAAAGGCTGGTAATGATGCTTTCTCTGCAGTCTCTGGGGACTCCACATTATACACAACTTACATTATTTATAAAGCTGAGATGATGTCTCCATTAGGCTTGTAAGGCTACTCAAATGAGCTTTTATTTTACACGCACAACTTGGACTTCACAGAGCAGACCACTGGCCACATGTGATATACAGTACATTTACGCCTCAGTGGAAAACAAGGTCACAATGCCTTCAGTTTTGAAATTTAACTCTTTATACCAATCAARGCAATGGATAATTTAACCAGAATAATTTGCCAGTATTTAGAACTATGAGAAATACCTTTATTAACCTTCATATTGCTTTTCTCTGCATTCAGGTCTTCACTTGGCATCAGACTACAGAAGAAGAGTGAACACTAAATCCATCAGCTTTTAAACACTTGATTTGACAGTTATTATTTATACACAAAGTGAAAGATCTGTCTGCTTGTTTAGTCACTTTTCTCCAATATTTTGGATCATCACATCTTCAAGGGTACACAAAAAGAGGTAAGTTGAACAGTACAGAGTAGAAAAAAAATATATTTGATTACATACCACAGTGGTTGAAGGGTCAAAACTGAAGCAAGGACAAACCCCTACCCTTAGGGTAACCTGATCACGCACTGAACTGATCCTCTCCAATAGCTTGGGAAGGATTATGGATCACCCAACTCAAAGGAAATCACTCTCAAGATCCCGCTTACAATCTGAGGTGAACTAACTGCTGGATTTAATCCCTACAGTAAGGGCAGGAAACTCAAATAAAAAGGATTTTTTTGTTCGTTTATTTGTTTGTTTTTCCCTCAGTGATGATCTTTCAGCTATAGTTCAGCAGTGAACAGGTAAAACTTAAAACAAAAAAATTCAGTGAGAACCTCTTATAAGTTTCRCAGCACTACTCCCTGATTCAACAGAAAGAAAAAATTAATATTAACTAGTTGCAACCAAAAGCTAAACTGTCATAATACAGTGCAGTAACTATAGACAAGTAAAAAAAAAAAATAAGTCAATGTTAACACCTCAAGTTTCTCTGCGTGACTTGCTCCTGTTGTTTGACACAACAAGGTGCATACATTCAGACACATGAAGACTAGTAGAATTATAGACATGTATCCCTAAGGATAAGTGGTCGCTGCAGGTTAGATTAGCTTCAGGTTTAAGTTTTATTCCTGTGTTCTATTTAAAAACACATACAAATATTAAAAAAACAAAAAGCAAGTATTTTAAGTTTACTCTTGTTGACTACTCCTCTGCTTGCAAACAGATCTGAGACATCAGCAACGACGGGTTTCAAATGCAGCTTTTTCCTAAACGTGTTAATTTCCAGAAACCTTAAACACTGACGTCCACTACATAGTGATATGGTTCATTTCCCATTTGCTCGTATCTGAAATACCCATCTACTTTTTATTCTTCTTCCCCTTGATCTAACAATACTGTCTTCAAATGTTAGTTTTCTTACATTCACTGACCATCATATTTTTTTCTACCTAAAATACCAAAATAATGATCATCTATCAGAATAAGGTACAGCTTATTCATATACTGTAAAAGCAAACTGTAAGGTCAGCTCACATCGGTTTTCAGATTGATCCACTAACAAAAGAGCAAGCCCAGCAGTCCTTTCTCGGATACAGCTCCCACTGACTTTGCTTTATAAAACAAAAAAGCAAGCAAGCAAGCAAGCAAGCAAACAAACAACAAACTCACAATTTGGTCCAGATCCTCCTGAATGTGTGACTGAATATTTCCACACCAACACATTTTAACAAGCTTTAAAGATCTCTATTCGGAATAAGATTATTTGGCTGTGGAGTCCAAACAGCTGAAGGAACTACACAGAGGAAAGGAAAACCATATGCATCCCAAGCTCCTGTTAACAAGGAGAGGAGGAAAAAAAAAAAAAAAAAGTGAACTTTCCTTGACCTCTAAGCAGAGATTTGTCATTAAAAAGCAAGAGGAGGGGAGGGGGCTGCGGAAAGGCCGAGGGGAAGCGAGGAGGGAGGCGAAAGGAGAGGGCAGCGAGGCGGAGGGCCGGCGGTGCCCGGCGCGGGCTYCCCCGCAGCACAAAGAGCAGCTCCGTGGGCCGGGGCAGCGGCAGGGCCACCTGCCTCCCCCGCGCACGGACCTAYCCGGCAAGTTCAGAGCGGGCGGGCGGCGGGAGAAGCAGCCGCCGGTCCCTCGCCGCGCTTGCCGAGCGGCGCCATCATGCCAAGCAAGCCCCGCCGCCGCCTCCCCGGCGCGGAGCCTCTTCCCGCGCTGCCTGCGGCCCGGCGGCGGAGCCCGCGGGAGCGTTACCGGCTGCCGGAGGGGCCGGGGAGCCGCGCGCCGCCGCTGCCCGCGCCCGGATGGCCCCGCTCCGCTGGCGTCGGGGGCTCGGGGCCGCTCGGCCTCCCTCAGCGCTGCCGCAGCGGCCGGCACGCGCGCTCCCGGCACGCGCACACGCACCGGCCGCCGGGGGAGCCTCGCCAAACTCCCGCCCCCGCCGCGCGCGGCGCCGCCCCGGGCCGCCGCCGCCGCCGCCGCCAGCGCTGCGCCCGCTGCCGCCCCGCGCCTGCGTCCCGCTCCGAGCCCAGCTGCCCGCGCCGCTCTCGCCGTGGTGCTGACGGCACCCGCGGCCGTGGGCGCCCCACACCATCCCGCAGCGCCGCCTACTTGCTTTATCCTCCCGAGCCTCCGCGGCCAGGACGCAGCCGCTCCGCGGCCTCCACATTTCCGCGGCCACCAAGTTTTCCCCGCAAGCCTCGGAGCCGGCAGGGTTTGAAAAGGCGCTTTTCTACTGGCTGGGGCAGCGCCAGCCGCTCCTGCGGCCCCTCGCCGCCAGGAGAGGGACTCTTAACTCCGAGTACCATGAGACCTGCAGTGCCAGTCAATAAGCTGGTAACACTCTGGTTGAAATGGATTTCATCCTGCCTCTTGYCTATAGGTGATTCCTTCTCTTACCTCTGACAAGTGTCTGCATTTAATACTGAGGTCGTTATTGATACAACAGTATCTTCTAATACCAGATCACTCTTTATCCCAAGGTCCTTCACACATGGACCTCATCCTGGCCACACTTACTATTGCAGTTACTCCTAATTTATGCAAGTAAACCCACTAAAGTGCAGGAGACTTCTGGTGCAATCTGATATGTAAAATGAATTCTTCCTCCATCCATGGTCCTCTGAAATAAAAAKGAATTCTATTTGTGTCTTCAAGCATCTCTTCAAAAGTAGATCTTTCAACTAAACTTTCTCCAAAAGTTTCTCTGAACTTTCAACCAGGTTTGGAGCCCACTTGAAAAAAAGAGAAGTTCACCAAGATGCTTTAAAAAAAAAAAAAAAAAAAAAAAAAAGTGTCTTTACAGTACTTAGATGAGAGTAGCACAACTGCAACTGAATTAAAACTGATTCCTTGGCAAATACCCTTTCATGCTGTCATTATTCCAAAAAGAAGATACAAAGTGAAAATGAAGAGCTTGTCTACATGAAAAATATTGTGATACATCTATACTGGCATAATTACACCACTGTACCTAGGCTAGTAAATTTTCCTGTGTATATGAAGCTCTAGGTATTATACTAACCTTCTAGGTATTATGCTAACCTCATTTCAAAATGCAGGGAAGCAAAGCTCAGGGAAGTCAAGGCCCCGCAAAGTACAAGTTTCACATAGAGGAACAGTATTCCTTGATTATTCACCTGTACACTTTGATGTGTAAGAGTCTGAAGAAACAGTCCTGAAATGGTCACAAAGAAAATGGCAGTAGTAAAAAAAAAAATAAGTCTTATGGCTGTGAGGTCATTTGCACTTCATAAACTAGAATGTATTCAGGTAGACRCACAGAGCATGAGGAATTCCTACACAGAATGACACCACAGTATTGCAAGGGAAGCCATGTAATTCTAAAAGGATCAGCTGGGGATCAGGTTTGTGTTTTACCACTTACATTTTGCACTTTAAGTGGCTCAGGATGAATGAACTTCAGTAATTAGCTTTAACCTGTATTTTATATTTGTACTGTGGGCAACTACAGATAGCAAATAAACCTTTCTACTTGCAGTCATACACTGCCACAGTGTTGCAATGGACTGAAGATATGCCTGGTAAAGGCTTATCTCAAGGTAAACTAAAATAYTTTTTTTTTAAAATTTGTCAATGTAATGACATTTTTTTCCTAAGCAAAGCACAGAAGAAACATGAGATTGTAGCTATTTTTGTACCGTGGTAGTGCCTAAAACAAAGCCAAGTGTGGTAGGCACCACAGTAATGTGCACTAAGAGCTTGGAGTGCCTTAATAATCCAGTCTCCCATAGCAAAATACACGGAAAGGACCTTACGTGCACCTGAGATCTGCTGTGCAGGCTGACTCTGCAGAACTGCGTCGGGCAGCGGGCTCCCTCCGTTCGCTTCCCATTGCTGGAGCATCTACTCACTACATGATTCACACTAAACAGATATGACAAGAAGATAATTAGGGAAGCACTGCAGTTTGTCAGGTGTCTCGTTAGAATCACATTTTTATTGCTTTTGTTGTTGTTAGGGTTGACTGGTTGGTTCACTTTGGCATGAGAGAATTAAATTATTCTCTACTTACACTGAGGCTCGGGGAAAATCACATTAATATATTCMCTTACCTAAAAAGGGTTATAAAGAAGTGTGACCCACTGACTTAAAAATTACTTAGTAATGCCTTTTTGTGATATTTAATAACCTGAATGGTTGTTCTGGGCAGAGCTGGTTAGAACTGCCTTATGCCAGATCTGGTGATAATAAGATTGGAGGACAAGCAAAAAAAATAGCAACACTGAAAAAGTCAGCTATGATTAGCAGCTGCCAAGAGACTTCCCTGGCAGGAGTATCTTGGTACACAGCCAAGTGAAAACGTTAGGCCTGCCACCCACTTTAAGATGTCCAACTCATATAAAACTGTCTAAACACACAACTCAGTCTGCTAATAGTATCGACAGCGTCTTGCTTGGATTCTGCACATTCACCAGCTCAAAGTCCCTCAGCTACTTCATTACATCCTAGTGAAACTTCCCTGGAATCTGACTGTTGTTTCTAATTGCCACGAGGAAACCAAGAAGGGGAAGCACAGGGCCACACACACCCAGGGCATGGAGCCTGAGGTCCTCCAACAGTGCAGGCTGCACTGCCAAAGGGACCTCCCTCCAACCAGGAGGCTGAACAGTTGTGCCGTTTTCAAGCTGTGACAGAAAATGTCTTTCTTTTTCTTGTGTCATACCCACAACTGCATCATTGCTAGCCCTGGTACACAGAAAACGGGAGATGAGTCTGGGAACCCATCCCATTTGGAAAGAGCCCAACATTTCATCTGATTAGGTGTGAATTCAAATGGCACCAGTCTTAAGGCCTGCAAGCCTAATTTTAATGGAATCAGGACAGTTACGCAGAAAAACTTCTAATAAGATTTTCAAAGGAAACTTTAATCTCTTAGATACTTTAAAAAATCTCACCAAGCATGTTGCTAATACCTTTAAAATCTGCCAGAGACAGATTATCAGAAGGCATGGTGCTAAGAGATACCCATTACACTGCATATTTTTATACTATTAGACTGTATGTTAAATATCTAAGAAATAATACTTACAATAATAACAGTAATAGCTTTCAATGTTCCTCTAAAGCCAGAGTTTATGATTTTGCAGATTATGATTTAGTATTTCCTGGTAACCTCTGCCAGGCAGTACATATTTCATCTGGCTTATTCAGGAGGCTCCAGGTACAGAGATTGCCTCCTGGAGACGCTCAAGTGCCAAAATCGCCAACTTCACTTCGCCTTTGTGTTCACCACATTTCTTCTAGGAAGGACAGTCAGTAATTCATGGAGCTTCAGAGGCAATAAAACTGTATCAAATACACAAGTTGTTATTTACATGTAAATAACTGAAGTGGCCATTTTCTTTTCGACTGCTACAGTGTTGCCCACGCATGGGCAGACAAACAGTGTTGCCTGGGGATGGGGTGGGGTGGTGGCCTCTTAAGAGGGCCAAGGAGGCTGGAGGAACTGCTCGGACACAGAAGTGAGTTTCACCTGTCCCACCAGAAGCCAAATGAAGCTCTTCTGTGCTAGAAGTTGGTCTGTTTGATTCTTGATTGCCAGGATTCAATTTTGCATATGCTGAAGAGAAGTTTTGAGCTGACACTGTAGATTGCACATAAATGTAGAACAACTTAATTGTGAAAGGCCTTGAAGGTTGAAGCTGCAATGTGAGGACTCTCTGKGCTCCTGCCCTGGCGCGTCCAGCCGTTTACTACAACAAACCGTTTATGAGTTTGTCTCTCTAGAGCCCAAGGTCCTTGCCTCCTAATACACTAATATACGTCAAAGAAGTGCCCACTTCACTCCTTAACTTGGAAACTYTACCTAAAGAAGACCATGATTAACTGAGATTTACACAGAATAAATGTGGAACTGATAATTTTGTAAGATTAATGAACTGCATGCATTTCCCTCTGTTACAATAAATAAGGTTTCCACAGTACATCCATCTGTAGATGCCAAAAAGGTCTGTGATCAGTTGAGCAGTTGTTCATCTTTTCCACCCTTGAGATGATGGGATTCAGACCAAAATTCATTACTTGCCTAAGATTAATGTACCCAGTTAAAGCTGCCAAGAGACCTCTTAAGTTATGAATCGAAAAGCTTTGGGTAGAAACCAGGTACTAAGCAGGGCACTCCCTTATCTCCTTTATTGTCTGTTTTCTCTATGAGCTCTGATGTAAGGACTTTGCTCCATCAGTGTTACATTACTGGTAAAGAGGGAGGATGTTAGGTTGCACTCTGTCCTGGAGATAAATCACAGACTGCTGCTGAGTGTAGTATTGCTGCCTGCTACACTGTAAAATACTGTACCTGGTGAGGAATGAAGTTCTCACCCTGGATCTTGCCTGGGTCCATTCAGAAACTTTTGAAGAGTTTCACTCTTCAGTAACACATAATGGACTCTATATAACCCCAAAATATTAGTCCTTTAAAAATTGAAATTCTCTTCAGTCACTTGGTTTAAAAAGATCTACATAACTGGAAAAGCCTAACTCTATTACTGGTTTCTTGGAAAACACCACTAAGATAAWTCTTATCTCCTGTTTTAATTACTATTTTCAAGTTCCTGCAGTCCTTGTCCTAGCTACATCTTGTTGCAAAAGCTACCAAAGAATGACATTTACCAAAGAATGACATTTATTAATGACATTTATTAACCCTTCTGACAGTGTTAGCGTTAGTGGCTTCTGCCGGTTTAGACTGGTTTTAAGGAAACTTGGATGGCTTTTTTTTTTTTTTTTTAAGGAAGGAAGAATTTCATTTCATTT